ACCAGTGCTCTCCAAGATAACAACCTGGCACCACCTGGGAGATAGCACAGGGTGGCAACGATTCCCACTGGGCAACACGGACACAACTGTACCGGGTGAGGCTGTATCCAGTGTCCTTCAGCAGCATCCCAGCAGGTCTGCTTGCAGGCTGTGCAAAGCACATCCTTTTTCACTCGGAGTACAGCTGTAACACAGTGTGTTGTGCACTTTGGGCTAATTAAAAGATACACAGAACTTTATCTGTGTTTTAGACTGAAGAAACTCTGTGGGAGACCAAGGAGACCAGCAAGTCTGCAGATGCAGCCAGAGAATGGCCCCTGTCCCTGTTTTATTTAAGGGAAAAATATGGATTTTTCTCAAAAGCTGAATTGTGCTTTCATATCTTGGAACTGGAACACTTGTAGTTGGCAGAGTTGACCTCTTCCTGTGTCACAGAAAAATCTGAGGCCTGCAGCTTCTGAGGAAGGTACAAGAAATGTGGCCAGAGGTTTCTTCTGGCTTCCTGGAAGACAGTGTACCCCATTAGGTCATCTCCTGTCTGTATGCAGTTGGCACCTTAGAGAGCTGCCAGCTAGTGGGCTGTTGGCAGCAGCCAAGTCCTGTGGGTTTTCTCATCCAGCAGTGGCAAGGAAGACAATACAAGGGTCTTCAGAACCCTAAAGAAGACTGTTGGAAAAGCCAGCCTTGAGATTTAGAAGATGCTGCTGGAGTTGCAGGTATGTTAGATAACCAAACTAAAAATTCGAAATATAACACCATTATTATCCCATTTTCTTTCCAAAAATGGTACCTCTCCTCTCCAGCTCCTAGTCCAACATAGTGAAAGATCTCAAACAACCCCACCTCTTTCTTAGTTATAATAATGTACTTGGTAAAAGGGACAGGCCATAATTCCTAGGCACCTGCATTTAGATAGGCTTGTTTTGCACTCCCCTGATAGGTGTGATTGGCAGGGGAGGAACTCGGATTTAGCTAGAGCTTCTTTCTAAAAATAGTTAATCAATTTCAGTTCAAGGCTCTCGGGTTATAGGAAAAGAAACTTATTTCACTTGGGCCCATAATGAGCTTGGATAATCAGTTTTCCTGCTCAGAAGCAATGAATCCAAGGGTTTAAAAGAAAAGGAATGTTATTAAGAGGGATAAAAGGGCAACTCAGCATAAAAAATTGTTAGGCCTGTTCTCTAAAATCAACAATAGAACCTTCTTGTATATTTTTCAATGTAGCTCTCACCCCTGTTTTGCCCAAATCTGAGAGAGCCTATTCTCCATCTGTAAGGAGTTGTTGTTCTTAAACCTCTTGTACTGTTTCCAAGTGCAGTGATCCCACCCCTGACACCGGGTCACTGCTCTTCCAGCTTCAATCCATGAAGCCTTGGCTCTGTCAGAGAGGAGTCTGTGGCAAGGAAAATACAAAGTGAGCCCTGGGGAACAGACCATTTGAGTCTTGGTTTTGTTTTATACCCTTCTTGCTCCTTGGCTCATTTGCTCTACCACTATCAAGTGGAGCACCACAGGTAATTCCTAACCCTCAAATCACCATTCTCCCTTGATGAATAAGAGTTTTTTTAATGCCTTCAAATGTAAGACAGAATTGTATTTTAAACGCAGTGCCTGAGAATGAAATGCACTGAAGTCAATTCACCTGCTCCTTTTTTGTTGTGATCTCTTGTCACTTCAAACAGTGCTGGATTTCTCTTTTATACCATTATGGGCAGGATCAGCAGTAAGTACTCCTTTCTTTTAGGAATACTGGTCTTACCTCAGGATAGATGTAGCTCTGAATTTAGGTTTTACTTCCATGCAAGCTTTACAGCACAAAGGATTGAATAGAATAGTTGGCTGAAGATCCTAATAAGGGTCTTTGCAGTGTCTGTCTTCTGTTCTTACAGTTGTTACCATCTCTTTATATAAGCCATTTGAAGTCATTCACAGTGGAGACACCAAAGGATGGAATCATTCAGGATAGCATGAGATAGGCAGAGGTCAGAGGGTTAAATGAGAAGAAAAACACAATATTGTTTGGAGAATAGGAAATATTTATTAAATGTTATGTCCTGCAAAATGACCTGTGATTCAACTGCAGTGATGCATAAACCTGAGCTGGGAAGTAGCCATTACTGTAAGAAAAAGTTGTGAGGAGAGCGCTGGGGTGAAACTGGTTTCTCCTACTTCAAATCCTTGTAGTGTGATTGTATTTCGAGTGAACCGACTGTTTGGAGGCGACATAAACAGTTCTTAAATAGCAATTTCAGTGAATGGTTTAGCTAAACCAGAGAAGAATACACTTTTTTCCAATTTCTGACTTGTCAGATAAAAACGCTGGCTCAGAGCTGCCACCCAATGATCAGACCCTGTAAAATCACTTAAATACGGGCTACCTGTGTTGCAAAGCACTGAGCTCTGTGAGACAATACAGTGGAGGGAAACTAATTTCTTGCTGCATAAAAAAGGCAGTGAAAGGCCATTTCCACCTCCATTTTCCTTCTACTCCTCTTTCCTAACATCTGCATATCCCATCACTCATTGCCTTATCTGCAACAAGGTCCTTTGCTTAGAAATTTTAATTGGTTAACCTGTTAACTTTGGTTTGGTTTTGTTTTTCCTTCTGTATTGATTTTCTGCTGGTTTATCAGTTTGACTCAGTTCAGAGCGTGGGCAGGGAAGTGCCAACACGAGCACAAAACAAGCAAGAAGGAACGAACTGTTGAGAGCCAAAGAATGGATAGAAGGGAGATTTCAGCTGCAGGGAGCATGATCACTTATTTCAGCTCTGTTCTTGTCTAACTGCATATGACATGGTACCTGGGGATTCCAAGGCTGGCTTTCCATTTTGGCTGGATAGCCAAAGCACTCTACAACAAAAAGTGCCACACAGGAAAATGCTCCTTGCCAAGGTTGTGGCTAAATTAGTCTGTTCAGCACTCAGAGACTTCAGGTATTGATTGTCCCCAGCAGCTGTGCTGCCTCACTGAAAGCTATAATCTCAGTTATCTTTGCAGCTTTCATGTGTCACCTGTCTGAAAGTGTTTGTTCCTGGCTGAGCTGTACCATTTGGCAAAGCAAAGAAGATGAAGGGGAATTGACACAGGTATGTTCATTTGTCATCAAACAGCTGTCACACATTTGAGTGCATTATACAACACCAAGTATTTTATTCTATTTAAGTGCTTATAAAATATTTTCATTTGCAAAAGGTCTACACAGTGACTTCATTTCACTGCAAGAGGCAAACACCCCATTTTTGCCCAGTGGTGCACCAACAGGACATTTCAGTCCATTTCTCTTCTGATCTACTCTCTTAATGAGCCCTTCATGAATAGCAAAAGGGCATTTGCTTCCAGCTGAACCATAATCCTGCAGTCTGCCTGCTTGCCCTAGTGTCTATCTCTAATGGCTAATAAGCATTTTTAATGTCTAGTAGAAACAAATTTGTACATCTATTTGTGGATTCATCCCACATTATGTGTTGCCTATTAGCTGACTATGCCCTGAACTGCCTGCTTCCAGTACGCCAAACATCATCAGTGGATTTCTGTTCAGCTCCATGTTTTCTGGATTAGGACCTGCTGTGGTCTCAGAAGACTCATTATGTACCTGGAGTTATATTGGCCATCAGTGCTGGATGCAACACAGAGAACCGGCTGTTCCTACAGAGCTGTGCTGTTCAGGGGAGGTGAGAGTGGTGTGTGCTCAGACAGCAGCCACTCAGTACTGATGTACAAAGCAAACCCATAGGGAGGTTTCTACAAGCTGCAATTTGGCCAGTCTACTTAATTTGAAAGGCTTGGACATCTGCCTGGAAATATCCGGTTAATTATTGGTTGTGGAAAATGATTATCACTTGATTATCATATTAGTTAAATTTTAACCTCCTTCACTACTTTAACAAAGTCACCATACTGTTATCTAATCACCAGCCAATGGTGAAGTAACGATCCTAATTCTGTCCCAAAACAGTTCATATTATTGAGAAAAGCATCAATCTTCTAAAATGGTGAGAGCTCAGGACCAGACAGGGAAGAACAGGGCATCGCAATTCCCAGAAATTACTTTGTGATTGCTGCACCAAATTGCTACACTTTGGAGCTGGAAAGCAGTCCTGCAATAAAGACCATTAAATTTGTGAGAAAAACACATCAGGAAGCACTAAAGACCCTGCAAATCCTGCATCATTCAGGCCTTGGGTGGTCCTTACTTACTGCCCAGACACACTCCCACACTCCAGGTTGTACAGACTGGATGCTGGAGGCATGTGCTTCTCTCTGAGAGCCACCTCCGAGCTAGGGAAAGGGCTGTCAGGGGCAAGTGGGGCTTATGAGAGCTTCAGTAAGGGTACATGCATGGTGTGGGGGTGATTTGTGCATTGGAGGAGTCCTGAGGTTTCTTGCAGCTTTCCTGTTTCCTTTAGGTGGAATAAGCTGCTGTTTCTTAGGTTTTATTTTCACCGCCTTGGCCTGTAAATAGCGTGAGCTTTCACAAACACCCTGATACCTACTCTTCTCAGGTGAATTTCCATTTCCTTTTGCACATTTCTGCTGCTGGGACAACCCTGGTTGGTTCCCAGTGCATCCTCTGTACTCCCCGGAGTGCTGGGGCAGCTGTCAAAGTGTCATAAGTCTTCCGGAAAACATTATTTGTTAACAAACACCCACCACTGCCCTCTTACACCGCTCACAGGTCTTGCTCCAACTTACATGTGAGCAGGTGAATTTCCATGTGGGGCCCTCTCCACATCCTTTTCCAAGGGTACGGGCCTCACACACTAATCCTTCCCACTGTACCAGTGAGCAACAGTGATTTTTTTTGTTTGTTTGCATATTCAGACTTATTTCACACTGCTCTCCCCAGAGACACTTTAATAGAGAGGGGAGAAAGCACCAGGAACAAATCTGTTGTTGCCAGCTAGAAGGCAATGGGTTCAGATTTCACAGGCAGGTTTATTAGATGGTAGAAGGAAAAGACTCATTGTTGAATGCATTCCAACCTTCAACCTTCATCTTCTAGGAATCTTTTTTTTTTTTACGCCTCCCATGTTTCTCCTTCATTGCTTTCTGCACGTTAAGATCTAGGAAATATTTCTCATACCATCTCCCTGTAAAGAATGGAAATCATAGTTCAGTTACAGCTTCCCTCCTACTGCTATCATACCCCAAGGATTATTCTAGCTGCAAAGCTTCTCTCTTATTAAAATGCCAGTTTCTAGGCCCCTTGTGCCTCTGCTCAAACCCATCCTTTGTTCTTGGCAGAAGCAGCTCCCATCTCAGGAATTCAACAATATACTTTTCATGTCAGAAGTCATACCCAGCTCATTAATTGTCCTTCCATGCCAATGCCTGGGATCTATGACTGCCTTCTGAAATACATCAGGGGTGTAGGAATCTCTCATCAAGCTTTGGCTCTTCAGTGGACCACCTGCAAGGAACAGCAAATAAGGAATTGTATGTAGAAATCACCCTACTGCAGTCCTGGAATTGAACAGGGGAGCAACCCCAGCAGTTGCAAGTGCTCAAGAAAAGGTATGTGCTGACTGCAGTACCTTTGATCTGGTCTGAGGCTGGGCACTGAACAATAACTTCACCATCACCACCCAGGAGGTTACTTGTGTTTCCAAATAAATCTGCTTTTCATCCTCAAGTATGAGATACACACAGAGAGTGCTGCAAGGCATCTTTATTTGTATCTCAGTGCCCTTTCCTCAGCCAAGTGCCCACTTACCCTACCGTTGAATCTCCTCATCCATGTGAGTAGCTTCCTAGCTGCTGCTAGCAGCACAACTACACAAAACCCCCAAAACCATTTTATTACTCTAGGCCTTCTTGATCTCATTTTCTGCCAAAATACTTAAAGAGTTGCCAAATGTGACTTCTCTTTTTATCCTCTCTTTACTTCTAACCATGGCGGGGGGGGTGGGGTGGTGTTTCTCTAATCCTTTCCTCTTCACCTTCCTTTTAATCACATATTTGTCTTGACAATAATGATTTTGAGCTCCCTGAGGAAAGACGTCCTTCTTTTCTGTGTAACCACACAAAGCCAGGACAATGCAGTCCTCAATACCCAGCAAAGTCTTGTCATGGAACATACTGTATCAGGAAAATGAATCTGCCTTATGCTGGTACACGAGAAACAAGAACCATGGACAATTATCTCAGAGTTTCTTGGATGAATGCTCAGTTTCCATTATTCGCTTAGATGGAGGGATCCTGGAGAACCTTGGAAACAGAGGTTTGGGAAAGATATTTCAGAGCTCCACATGTCTAAAAGTCTGGAAGAGAAATTATGCTGGCACTGGAACGGGAGGTAACTGGAGATGAAAGGGAACATTAAATTGCAAATGGTGTCCATTTGGACAACTCTGGACAGGACAACAAGGATTATGATTCACATTCACTTTTCACACTGGGGGGGGGAAAAAAAAAGTGAAAGAAAAGAAAGGGATAAGATACATAAAATGGGAGTATCTAGATTCCAGTTCCTTAGGTATCACAGCCTGGAAAAGCAGTGACCTTGGATAGAAGGAATAAGAGGGGAATCTATTATGTATGGTCAGATCTTTACCCAGAGCAATGTGGCTGCCTGAGCCCTGGCAAAGCACAGATGGAACCAGCTTTGAAGGTCAGGGGTAGGTGGTGTGTCCCCTCACCTTGGAAGATATTAATGTTGAAGTTGTAACTCAGCTGTTGGTAATCTGAAAGAGATGCCCAGGTCAAGTAGTTTTTTGTCATTTCAGTACAGTTGTTGAGTCCTTTCTGTCCTGTTTCTAATGCTGCATTGTCCTGAGCTTGGCATTTCTGGGAATACAAACAACAGGGAGACGCTGTCAATCCACATTCCCAAACTGCAGCAAACTCCTGGCATTTCCACCCCTGCACAGCTCTTTGAGCTATGACTAATCCCTGGGACCTGGGTCTGTCCTTGAGTCTCCCTTAGCGGCTTCTGTAGGCATTGCATTTGCATGGGACAGCTAGGACGAGAAGTGGTTTTCCTGCAGAGGGAATGTCTGTGTAACCCTCTGTCACGTCCCCATCCCAGGGGGACTTGGTAGGTTTAGCCCATGCAAGGCTGTGACAAAACCGAAGCCCTGCCCCATAGTGGTGGAAGACTGTGAGCCTGCTGGCACTAGCAGCAGGACAAATGGGATCTGGATGGGGTAGGAATGCACGTTTGGACTTGTCAGATTAGCTCAGGACATGACACAGGGCTTACCTTCTGCTCTTGAGGCAGTGGTGGGAATGAAGGCGCCAGCCCATGGGGTAGGAACCCCAGTGCTCCACCAGGGTTGACTTGAATCAGCAGCGGATTGGGTTTTACGCTGTGACAGATCTTTGCAGCACCAAGTCTTACACAGTATTGGGATCCTGAAGCTGAAGTTATTGTACCAGCCAGACTCGAGGAGTCAGTGCTGCATGCTCTGCAGAGCCTCTCCCACAAAAAAAACCTCACAGGGAATGATCTGCTTCTTTTCCCTCTCACTCTTCTTTATTTTTAAAGAAGAGCCATACACTTACACATGATCAAAGTGCAGGAAGCTGCTGCTAAATAAACTGCTGTGCTAACTCCCACCTCCTACTTAAAAAAACCCATGTCTGTTTGTTATTATTACTATATTCAGTAGGAAGAACTTTCCAGTCTGCTGATGTAGAAATTCCTCCTCTCCCATTTCTTCCAACAAAGCAGAATTTCTGTGTAATGAGGCAATGTGCTCATTTCCCAAATCCCTTTCATCAATAATTTCCCCAGTTCCTCCTGGACAAAAATGACACCAAAGCCTGAGACTGTTCCTACTTTCTAGTTTGTAGAACAAACAATGACGCTGTTGTCACTGTTATTATAAAAGCACTGCAACTGCATGTGATTGCTGTTTTTCATTTGATATCCGACCCTGAAGTCAAAGCACTGCTCAGAGAATACCACACCTTGAGGCAAGAAGGACTTTAAGGCCATTTTACCATCCTCCTGGATAACAGGAACCACAGAAGTATGTTTACTTATTGCTTTGCTAAACTAATTCTGTGAGGGACAATAGGCAACCAGTCAGAAAAGATCTTGATCAAAGAGCTAAAAAGGATTAAATGTGATCTTTCTTTCTGAAAGATGTTTAGCATAGCCTAACACTTTTTCCTGACATGCAGCCTTTGAGGAAAAAGGAAGCTGTTCTCCCTAAGCAGAAAACTTCCATAGACAGGTGGGGGAACTGGCCAATCTCACCAGCCACCAGATGTGGCCAAGAGTGGTCTCATAGGCCTTCCACATTTGACTGGGTCTCTAAAGTGTGAGGAGGTTTCAGTGACTTTCCAAACCCGAGGAGCCCCATGGATGTGGAAATGTCATTTCTCTCTCCTTTATTTATTAAATTATTTAAAAAAAAAAATTATAAAATGCCAATATCTGTGATTTACCAAGAGGCAAAACCTCTTCTGTAACTACCTCTCTCACCTGGTCCATTATCCCTGTGTGGTGACTGGTGGTTTGTACAAGGTCCTGGATGAAGGCTGAAGAGTAGAGATGGTTGCTAGGGAACAATGCTCCCTCTATCTATGAGCTGTGGGCTCCAGCTCCGTGGGAAACGGAATTCACGCAGTGTGGAGAAGGGTTATCCTCGCTGATTGGAAAAACACACAAGGAGCAGAGTAAAAGGCTCGTGTCTCATTAAATACCTGTGCCCGAAACTTCTCATCACACATACAGGATTTCTGGGAGGCTTTCCTAACACAGTCATGATAATCAACAAGATGGTATTTCAGCAGAAATGGATCTTTTAGCATCTCCAAATGTTTCACATGAGCTTTCTGACCTCAGCCTTCTTGTTGGGTCCTTGTTGCTGCCTATCTGGAACACCTGAGCCATACCAGTTGATACATTTCTTTTCAATGTCCCTTACCTGAACCCAAGGGAAGCAACACACCTCCTTGTGGGTTGGGCCCAGCTGCCATATGGAAGGTACTCCCATTTTCCACATTCCAAATGGGAAGATGGTGGGCTGGCAAGAAGTCTTCCATAGAATCAATGACAGAACCACAGCTTGGCCCTCCCATGTCCAGTACCCAGTGCTGTATTTTAGCACTGGACTCGGCATTCATTCTGCTCCTGATCTTTCATCAGGCCACTGGAATTTCTGCATGTCTTCAGGCACAGAGTGTAACTCTCATGCAGCAGAGCTGCTTTTCCCACTCAACACAAGCAGGTTGCAGGTAACAGAGGAGAATTAGAAATACTCACAGATGCATCATCTAATATTTTATTAACTGTCAAAAATCGAAAATTCAATAGAAACCTGATGATAATTCTTAAAAAAAATTGGCAAAATCTGAATCAACTGATTTTCTCTTTACTTCCACCTCCTCCCTTTTGCTTTACCCTGGGCTGGAGACAGCTGCTAGACCATGTTGCCCCAGGCAGAGCTTTCCCTCTAGGCCTTGCTGCGCTTCAACTCGGAGACTTTGTAGTGTGGTGGGGCTCGGTGGAACCACTCGGACCAGGAGCCGTCGTACACGGCCACGTCGCGCTTGCCGCACAGGAAGGCTGCCAAGGCAATCTGACACGCCGTGACGCCCTTGCGGCACGTGGCCGTCAGCGGCTTTGAGAGATCCACTTTCTTTGCACGGAATATTTCCTGGATCGCCTCAATACTCTTCTCATGCCCTGTTTCTGATAGGAATGAGTGGAAGGGTATGTTCACAGCACCAGGGATGTGGCCAGATTCCAACCCTGCAAGAGGGAACCAGAAAAGGAAACATAAGCAAGGACACATTAACATAGGTGATGAAAGACACCCACAAGAGACATTAGAGACATCACTGCAGATACTCTCACTCCCTCCAAAAGACTCATTTGTTCCACTTGATGATGAAGATGCAAAGTGGTATTGGGCTATGAAGAGGAAAAATATTATTCAATTTTGCTGAAGTCAAAACTTACAAAATATTTAGCAAACCATTTCCTCACTGAAAGCAATGAGATGTAGGAATCTGAAGAAGCCCTAGACATAACAAGAATCAAAGAACCTCCACAGATAATGCCTTTACAAAGGCATTAAGGGCACCTGTGATAAGAGGAGTAAAGCAATGCATTTCCAACCTCCCCCAGGTATGCCAGCAGTGTGTAGTGACACAGTTTTCAGAAGCAGGGAATATATGTGGAATTTGTGAAAGTTTTTATCTGTTCACAGTTTATTCCTGCATCACCTTAAAATCATATTTCAGAAAAATAAATAAGACATCATAGAGAAACCTTAAAGTCATCCACATCACTGCTGAGGCAGCCATCCTCAGGGGTAATGGGGTCAGAGAAGTCAGAATTTATATTTTTTATCACTTCTTATTTACTCCATGGATGAAATCAGAAAAGGTTCTGTTTTTCTGCTGGTGTAGCTGACCACTTCAGGCAAGATCAAAGCTGCATGTCAAAACAAGGTCTTCAGAGAGTAGCAGATATAAAAATACGATGGACAAGGTTGGCATCACACCCTTCAAATTCAGATTCTTAAGGCTTCCATTATTATGGAAGCTTTTCCAATAATTTTGAGAGGCTTTGGATCAAACCTCATTGAAGCCAAAACCATTATGTATTACACTGAAAATATGTTTTAGGGAATGATTCCTTGCTAGGTTTGAACTTCTAATGAGACAAATCTGAAAAAAATCACATAATAGTAATCTGTTTCATTGGCAGCTTTCCATTAGCCCAAATCATTGGGATAACTTGTCTTGGGAGATGGGGGAGATGGAAGAGATGGGGCAGTTTAATCATTTGACTTTGTTACAGTCAAATTATTAAACTATACCTACACAGAAACTGACATCACACATAATGACACTGCAGTTTCATCACTGTGCAGAGTGGTAACATGACATAGTGAGATATAAGGGGAAAACAGCTTTGGCACAGACCTCAAGGGAATTTTTGCTCTGCTGGACAGAGCCTAAAGACAATCAATGCTGCCCCGAGTCAGCTTCACAAGTTCTCTTCCTGTTTCAGATAGACCCTCTTTGTCTCTTGATTCATCCTCCCCGAGTGCATTAGAAATACAGCACAGTTGTCTAGGAGTCACCTCATGCATCCATCAGAAGTGTTTAGCATTACTAAGGGAAGCTGGGAGAAAAACTGCTGACTTCTGCAGTGACTAACATTTAAAAAGGAAAAGAAAAAATAAGAGGCAGCATTTTGGACTGATGCTTTTATCACATTTTTTCCAGTTCCAGAAGACAACAGTTCATCACTTCTGTACAGAGAACTGCAAAACTCACTCAGCAACACAGTGTCGGTATGACAGAGAGGAAATAAAAAATGAAGCAAAAATTGAGAAAACCTTGTATACAGTTCTCAGACTGCAAAGCTGCTTACTGGAGCCTCTTGCATGCCTGGCTTAGGCGACCACTTTCTCATGGAGTAAATAGGAAAAGATCCATTCAGCAAACGATTTCTGCAAGGTTCTGCTGCAGCACTGGTGATCATCCCAATACAGACAACTCTGTGAGTCATCCTAGGGCACTGGGAAATGTACTGAGATCAGGAAGTCCTGGAGGATGAACTAGAAGGGAACTCTTGCTCAAAGAAGCTTGCTAGGCAATTGATTCACTTCCCAGGTGTCCCAGGCACCATGATCATTATCACTTCTCTAGACTGTTCACACACCTTAAAATAGGTCTGTACCCCTCTCTTATTGGAGACTGACAACTCACCACCCTTAAACAACTCTTCAGGTAGGAGCTGAGGAGATCTGAGAAAACACTCATTTTAGAGCAGTTTTGACTTTGATCTATAGGGAGACTTTCTTGCTCCAGAGATTCAAAACTCTGTTGGAGTCAGAGACCAGTGCTTGCACTCTGTGGGTGAAAGATGGAGAATTCTGTAGAAACTGTGTTTATTCACATATGTGGGTGTTCAGCTGAGAGAAAGAGCTGAAACTGCATAACCACAATCCCTTGGACTGCCTAAGAAGTGCTCTCAAGTGGCTGAGGAAGCTTTATAATCTCTCTCTGCTAGGTCAAGAGCAGAGAAACACAGGACTGGAAGGCAAGACTGGATGCAGCTGGAATCTGAACAGGGAAGAGGATACATCTGCTCCCGTCCCATATGAAACAGAGAATACTCCATGCCAGATTGATGCAGTCAAAGTCAGAAACTCCAGGAAGGAACCCTAGAACTACAGAGCTTGGGCCCCAGATACCTCAGTAATCATTTCATAAACTGCCTTTCAAAAAAGCATCCATCTGAGAAACAGTTTGGATTCCTGTCATGAAACCTCCCACTGAAGCACCTCCTGGCTCATGTGAGGAGGAATATTAATTTCCAGTGTTCAGATCATCACAATCAGTCCATACACAATCTATCCTTGAGCTAACACTGCGCTATGGCTGAAATAGTTTTTCTGTCCGTCTGCTATTGCTCCAACAGACTGATTGCAAACCCAACAACCTCACATCCTTAGCCTAAACCCAGTAAGAGCCCTTTAGATACACTTTTCTCTGTCTTGGCCACCCTAGAAACAGCTCTAGGTGTCTAGCAGGCTTCTGGATAAAGAAGTGGCATCTCCTACCAGGAATTGCAAAGGCTGTTGCAAAGCTAAATCACACGTGATGTTCCTGTACCCAACTAATTAATCCAAATCTTATCCTCTTCTATTGCTTCCAAATGTGGCTCATCAGCTTGTAGGAGAAACACAAGCAGTTCAGTGTTTTGGGTTAATAAGCATTCCAGTTTGCTCTCCATAGTGTTATTCTTCCTGTCACTGATACCTCTGCAGGTGGCACCTCACATAATACTCCCCATGTGATCATTCAGACCTTCCCATGGCTGTGCCAGCAGCACATTTCAGTAACAACTCCCTATTTTCAATGCCTCGATGATTCAGGAAAATACGAAACAAAACACGGAAGCTTAACGATGGGACCATGCTGGCAACTTCCAGCCCCACAGATCTTCTTTCAGGCTGTTCTTATCTCACTTATCTCCTTTTCAGTCAATTTTTTTAAATCTAACAATGTGTGCTATTTGCCCTCTCCTCATATTGAGCTAATTAATGTCCCTCTAATGTTATTCCCAAAGCATTAATGAAGTCCAAATGGCACAACTCTACCTTGCAGGTGCTTCCAATGGCTGGAAGAAAAGATCAGACACGCATGTTCCCATTTCTCTTATCTGGCCAACCAATTCAGTTGGCAAAGAAATAAAGCTCTTGGCTACAGTGCAAGTCTACCAACATGTTTTACTCAATTTTGTCTTTGTTTAAAATAATTTTTCTTGAAGAGTTTTTTGAAAGCCTCCTAGTTTATCCATGTTAGAACAACAGGTAGGCTGTGCTGTACCCCCTATTCTAAATATGAAGTTTACAATTGTTTCTGTCCCACAGAAACATGCTTCAAATAAATTTATCAAATTCTTGCCTCATTAAGTTGCAACGTCACATGACTGATTTTTGACACATATTTGGGATCGAGATCATCTGCCCCACTGAGCATGAGGCTATCTTTTGGTTAGCCCTCTCCCTGCTCTGCAGAGTTATCCTTAGGAGAGAAGAAAACATGGTAGCACAGACTCAGAGCTCAGTATAATGCTGAGACCACACACAAATAATCTTCCACCTGGAATGCCTGCTAACTTCACAGCAACCTTATTTATTCTTTCTCTCCTTCTTCTCTTTTGTTCACTCTGTTCCAGAAGTTTTTGTTATTTAATTCCTTTTGCCAAGTCTCACTCATCTTGGTGTCTCACAATCCTTCCTCACAATTTATAAGCTGTAATATGTTATCTTCTTCACTACTTAATCCCCTTTTCCACATCTGTTAGATTCTCTGCTTACATATTGTTCTTTTTGTTGGCTGTTTATGTTGGCTCTTTATCTAAGACCATAGCCCCTCTTCTCTAGCCTTCCCTTTGTGCTGAAAGCTCCAGATGGAATTTCTTAATGTCAAAAAGATAAAAGATTTGCTCTGCCCATATTTAACTCCCTGTGGCTTTGGAGTGTGCTGGCTGCAGATAGTTCTTTTCCAAATGCCTCCTCTGTTGCCTCCTTGTTTATCTCTCTCTTCCATTCAAATGATATGTCTTAGAAAGGACAATTACTGATCTTGTCTAACCTACCGTGAACACACTGTAAGGAACACTTTAGGCTTGCTCCT